GTCCCCACGGGCAGGGACGTGCTCCCCTGCCTGGCCTGCCCCGAGTTCCTTTGGTGGTGGAATCTCAATGCCCCAGATCCAGGCTGCATCTCCTCTCCTGCCTTCCTACTTTCACGCTGCTGGCCCTTGCTGCCCAGGGAAACTCTTGGTGATGGTTTGACAAGTCTTGACGCTCTCTTCTTGGGACGTATGTCTCCAGAAAACTAATTTGTCTTCAGTCAGCACTTTTTAGTCACAATATCTGATGTTTACAGAATATTACATTTATTGAAAACAAGAGCCTCGCACTGGTCTAGGGACGCATTGATAAGGTTATTATTTGGGGCAAGGTGGACATTACAGAGCCTCCAGAGCTTACAGATAGACATAATATGCAGAGAGAAGGCTTGTCAAATGGAGAGAGTTTGCCGGAGAAGAGATGTCACAGGCAGGCATGCTGCTTGTATCACACTGAGCAACAGGTGCAGGTAAGCATGGCAAGCTATTGCCTGGAGTGCAGGGCAAGGTAGAAGCAGGATTGGGAATGTGTGGCATCATACCATGCTGCCTTTGGTGGCCTCTCTCGAACCAAGCACTAACTGAGCTGACATTAACTTATTTTCCCTTTTCCAGGAATGAACACAACATCATCTTCAGCTACAAGTCCAGCAAGTAAGTAGAAAGCAGCAGTTAGCACAAATCTGCAAATTTGTACTGCTGTAGAAATATGGTACAGTTGCCAGTTAATACTTAGTTATATGGTGCTGACAGCTGGAAGCCCTGCAACAAATTCCTTAGCAGCATGCTCTGATATCTATTCAGGTATGTATAGTGTGACAATTAATTTGTGAGCCTTCGTTTTATTAGTGTGTCCTCAGTAAAGGACTGTACCATGACACTGTATTATAATAAGACATGTACAGTACATATACCAGTACAGTATTAAAGATGCACATGCTGTTGTAGTCTGCCTTTTTCTAACTTAGTCACTGATTTTGGCATCCCTCGATATGCTTTTTTTTTTATTTGGTTTTAGTTGTATTAAGTAGAGTTAGATTGTGAATGCTTAGTGTGACAGATAATGAATTTCAGCCTTACTCTGTGTCATCACTGTGATATCCTGCTGGACTGTCTAGGGAAAACAGTTACTATACAGACATTAAGCAAGCAAGACATAGCCATGTGCTCTTTAATTGCATCTATACTCTATAAAACATATCTGGTAGTTTCCTTTAGTAGAAGTATATATGTAGTATTTAATATATGAACTACTTTATATATGAACTGGCTATTGCAATTTCATAGAAATCCTGATGTCAATATCTTTCATCTTTGTAGCAGGGGACGTGTGCAACCCCTACCCTTGTGGAACAAATTTGGCTAAATGTGTTGCTTTAAATACCACTTACACCTGCCTGTGCCAGTATGGATTCTACCATAGGAACAAGGATTGTCACAGAGGTGAGTTGCAAAAGGGCAACCTATATTTTTAGTTACTTCACAGGTGAATTTTTCTTCCCATATCCCTTGTTCTCATGTTATAACTGAAAACATTACCAGTCTGGGAAAGTGACTGCTGAATAATGCCTTGCTTTGCAGACAGCCACTGCTACAATGACCTAGATTGTTATCTCACAAAACAGTAACAGCCAAAGAGGTTAATGTGCTAGGAAAAGAAGGTGAGTTCTCTGTCAGGGGTGCTGGAGATTAAAATGAGTGAAAAGCAGAAAAAAATGCCAGTGTAAACCTGATGTCAGTATTAACAGCTAGGATTTAAAAAGGCCCAAGCCTATGGAGACCTCTGAACCACCGGCTTGATTTTCCCTATTGCTAAACCCTCATTACAGTCCTGTTGAAGTGCATCTCTGAGATGCTGCTAATGGCCAAGTGTGTGAGCAAATGGGGCTTCATTTAAGTGCCAGCAGGCAAGGTTCTCAGATTTATTTGTGAGCCTAAAGAAGCAAGTAGATCCTGAATCACTTTCTCAGATAAGGTGAACCACGTTAGCTGCTTGGTGGCTGCGACTGCAAATTTGAAGTCCTTAATATAGGTACTTTCTCACTAAGTGCTGTAACACCTCAGATGGTGTCTTTTGTTAGCTTCAGGCCATGCTTACAGTTTAATGTTATTCGGTTTCATAGTCTGGCCAGTTTGGTTGAGCCCAGGACCCTGCCTTCTTCCCAGGTAACCAGAGTATATCCCCCATTGTGGCTGAATTTATTGAGCGACCGTTTGTCCCCTACCAATTCCTGCAGTACACAAAAAATTGCACCGATTGATTGATTTCTGCATTTATTTCCCCATCTCTGAAGGCTGGAGAACTCTAAGGGGAAACCTGACTTACTTGAATACTTTCTAATTAATTAATATTCTCTGTTCTCATTCCAGCGAAAATATTCCCAGGGGTCATTACACTGAAAGAATTTTACAGTAGTAGTGTTCAAATTGTAAATTCTGTGCAGTATGAAGAGGTTTTCCGAAATACAACGGAGTTTGTGAGTGATGACTTTTTAAACCTTTTCTGTATATTTAATGCTTTCCTGAATGTCATGGAGGCAGAGGGGATACACGCTGCCTTTAATGTGGAGCCTGGGATAGTTTCACTTAAGAAATCTACTTCCTTCAAAGAATGTTTCACACTATTTTAGACCTATTCATAAAAGAGTTGAATTTTGCCCTCAAATGAGTACATGCATGGCTCTTGCTGAAGTGAAGGGATGTACCTGAAATAAGTAATGTCTGCATTTTTAGTGCCACTTCTATTCTGGGAAGTTCTCACATAAATTGCTCTGTATCTTTCACCATTCCCTGTCCAGAAACCATGGGGCTGAGCGAAGTTTTCCAATCCATTTAATTTTTGATCTCCACTGTTTGCTGAGAGCTCAGCAATACTCAGTGGTATGAGTAAAAATGAACAATTTTTTTTTTAAGAAAGCTATCGTTTCCACACAGCACAAACTTTTCAGAATGACTGTCCAGCAGTGTCTAAATACCTAAATAACAAGCCTCTTGCATAAGCATACCAGTATTAGTATTTTAATGCTATTAGTGAAATGGATATTGCACATTTTGAGCATTCTATGATTATAGATAAAATCTTGTAATGGATTTCCTGGAGAAATAAGATGAACAGTTTAATTTGTACTGCCATGTTGACACAAGTGGATTTGCTTACATTGCTTTCTACAAGTAAGGAAGAAGAGGTATGCAACTCTACCAGACAGCTGATAAAAAAATATTCACCAAATATTAATAAGAATTCATCAAAAATGGTTATAAAATTCTTCATGTTATTATATTGCTTCCTATGAATATTTTATCAGAAAGTAACCAAAAAATTGTCCCTCCATAATATTAAAAAATATTTTCCTCCTTTTTTTGTCCAACATTTTTTCATTACATAGTTGCAGAAGTGCATGATATGCAGCACTAGAATAGATATGTAGTAGTATACAAAAGTGAAAATAGCATAGAAAATAATTTTAATTTTATTACAAAGAAGGATAGTTTATCTTTCATTTCAGTTGATTTAGACATCTTATCCTTTTCTCACAGTGCCTCCTGCTTGTGTGGCAGTTGGAGACAGCTGCCTCCCTCAGTTGTTCCCTGCTTCACACATGATAAGGGAGAGCAGTTACTTTTCTACTGACCACATACAACCCCCAGTGCTTTCATCAGTGCTGTGCTTCTCCCCACAAGATCAACACCTGACAATCCCACTTCACTGCATCTTAGGGACATATGCCATCTGTAAAGATGCCTACTTCTCCCTCTTCCCTCTACTTGTACGTAGGTTGGTACCTCAGGGACTCCCTTTTAAGCAATGAGTCTGCAAGGGAGTATCTGTAGCTCTCCAGCCAGTCAGCCCTGACACATTGCCTGACATTCATTCAACTTGTGTCTCTCCATCCTTCCACTGCTTTCCTATGTTCCCCGTTTTACAGCACCACTCCACTGCTTCTCTTCTGCAATACCTTGCATCGTGGGTGTGACTGATCAGCTTGCTTTATTTGTGCCTGTAGTATCATGTTCTGGATTAAAACTTTACAGCTGAAGCCTCAATGCTCCCTATGATTTTGATCTATGTTTCTGCTCACCTTTAACTCCAATTCATTTATCTTTTACAGTTTGGGGATGCCTTCATCAATTTAACAAGCTATAGACAGACTGTCATTGTGCAAATTCAGTAAGTTTACCATTTTTTTTTTTTTGCATAGTGTGTGCTTCCCACACAACTCACTTTAATCTATTTTCCATGGAGTACTCAGTTCAAGAAAGGATATGGGATGAGTTCAGCTCAGTACACCTCCTGTTAAGTAAGGGCATTCTTTTTGGACTTTTAAAGTTTCTGGGATGCTGGCCCCATTTTTACCCCATGGATTTCCAACAGGTCTGTGAAGTGGGCTGGCTGAGACAGCTCCACAGTGGATCTCCCACTTTTAGCACCATGTAGGATATAGCACTGTGCTATAACTAGCAGTCCCTGTGATAGCTGACGTGTCTTTGAAATTACAACAGTTAACTCTGAAGTTCCTATGAACAGGTTCAACTTGGATTCCTAGTATAATTTAAGAAAGACCCTCATTACAGAAGCTCACTGCATCGCATTGTGCATTGGCTGGTCTCTCTTGATGGCAGTCTGAGTAAAGTTGTTATTGAACGAGCTCTGGTGACTGTAGCTGTGGGCATAGGTCCTTTGTGGATCTAGGTGGACACTGTAAGATATCCCTCTCTGCCCATTCTCATCTGTTCCAGGTTACTGCCCCCAGAGCTCTGCCAGCTTCTCTGTGAGTACCCCCTAACCCACATCAAGCAAAACATGGCATGCTAGCACACACAGCAGTGTAAACCCCTGCAGTGAACCCCATGGATTAAGCAGTTAAGCAGACTGTTGTTCTAGCAGAGTTGTGAGAGCAGTAACTTCTGGAAGAGTGGGTGTGACAAACACATGGGGCACAGTCACAACTTAAGGCACTACAGCAATCTACCACTTTAAGGTATTCGTGTGCATATCTCAGCAGCACAAACTTCAGCTGAAGAACAGCGTGGTCACTGCTGTTCTCCACCCCAGGGAGATTGCTGTCCAGCTGAACCCAACTCAGCTAGCATGTAGTTAGCATAGATACCTCTACATTGCAAACAGACCCTTCTGAATTCATTGCTGTCATACCCTGAATTATCCTTACCATGCTTCAGGATGGGTTATGTCATATTTGGATGACACCACAGGCTGATGAGAGCATGGAAAAGTTAGGGTGTAACAGATGAGGTCCTCCACATTACAGCCAGCTTGAAGTTAGCCCAGTAAAAAAATACCAGTTGCATGCCAACAGCACACAAAACAGTGACGATGTTAGCATTAAATCCAACAGTCTTTGCTTACCAGCTACCTATTTACATCTGGATCTCCTGGAAAGATGGCTGTTAATGTATTCCTAAGCAAGACTTGAACTCATTTTCAGGTGTCTTAGCAACTACCTATATTGTGGGATGAAAGAAGCTAGGGGAGAGAGAGAGGTTTGGCAGAAATCTTCTCATCTTTGCATCTAGCTTGCTATCCGTATAGATTATATAAGACTTTAAAATGATACTATCTGTGCTTTTCAGACCTTTAAATGAAGGCAGAGCTTCTTTTTGGACGAGTGTTACAGTGATGAACCTGTTTACGGAGAACTCAGATGTAGACAATATGACAGTTAGTTCCGCAATAAACAAAGCAGTGGGAACTTCGCCCTATGTCGCTAACTACAGTGGTATGTAATTCCTTACTGTAGAAATAAATAATCAGTAGAAAGAGATGTTCCTATCTTCAAAGCAGGTTAGAACATTTCTGTGTGCAGCAAAGCCCATGAGAGTATAGGCCCTGTTGTTTTTAAGGAGCTGAATGTTCAATCTTAGGTAATTTTGAAGACTCAATCATTCAGTGTTGGGCTTTTTTGTCTCATTAAGACTTTCTACTTCCTGTGTAAAAAAGAGAAGGAAAATACTTATTCACAAGTAAGCAGTGGCATCTTGATTTTAACTTGTTGGGTGTTAAGTGGCTGGAAAAATCGGGGCACAATATATATAGACATATACTCTGCTTCTGAGAATAAACCAGTATTTTAGTGGCAAAATAGGATGAAACTCTCTTTAGACTTCCATAATTAACCACAGTAATTGAAATGAGGCCTCATTGATTAGCTACTGAACTGAGTGATTCATTGGTCTAAACAATAAAGCCTTGCATTACTAAAAGTGTAATACTTGGAGAATGATTTTGTAAATAAAATATGGATTTTTTTTCTCCTTTTTTTTTTTAAAGTATGCTCCTATTTTAAAACCAGCTTTCACAAAAGGCATAGCTTTTAGTTAAAGGAGTCCATTTCATGGCTCATAGCCTGAGTTTGGTCTCTGAAGGTGACCATATCCACCTCAACCATGACATTTCCTGTGTGCTAGTCCTAAATGTGAGGGCAAAACAGAAAAAAACTTGAGAGCTTAGAAAGCACCAGCACAATCATATCCCTCCACTGCATGCCATCCACTGAAGGTTGTAAACTATTGCCACCACTGGAACGTAGATCTAAAGAACAACATGCTGGGCAGAGAGCATGCTAATATTGCTCATGAAATGAGCTGCATGCTCATAATCATTTATATCTATGTAGAACTGTATGGGATCTGGGCCGCACAGCAGTTTTAGCAAAAAATAAGGGAATAGTGCTGGGAGTTTTCTATAGTTTTTTTTAAGGTGAGTCAGAAAGTCAGTGTTCAGAATATGAAAGTACGGGTAGAATTTCCCTCTTCATGGACTGGGGGGCAGGAAGGTTTGGAGGCAGCTGTAGGAGGCCGACAAACAGAAGGTCAGAAGATGGGATGGAAACAGGACCTTAACTGGTAAAGAGCAAGGGAAGGGAAAGGGCTGGTCCAAATACCTGCAGTATTGATGTCCTAAAAAAAGGACTTACCACTTCTTTGTGGTAAATAATTGCTTTATGATTTACTGAGCAAGAGCACTGCTTTCTATGAAATGATATTATTAGTGCCCAGTTTGCTTCCTGACTATTTCTCTTTTAAAGCTACAACCTATTGTGCTGCTTTTAATTGTGATGCCAAAACCACATACTGTGAAGAAGATATGTTTCCAAAATGCACATGCAAAACTAATTTCTCAAAGACAGAATGGGATGAACGTTCTTGTTCAGGTAAGAACCTTGCTATTTTATTTATCCCTGGAAGGCTGACCTGGTTATTCCCTGTCTCAGTCCCCTTTTGAAAAGGGTGCTCTGCAAATGGGCCGACCTCTAAAAATCAGAGAGTGTGTGCCTCATTAAGAAAGTCATAGAAACACATTCTCACGTTTCACTTTAAACACATCTCTAATTCTATTCTGGTAGAATGAACTACTAAAGCCTGAGAAGATTATCACTGAAACCAGTGAGTGACCAACTCTTTAAATGTGTCATTAAACTCTTCGTAAGAATTGAAACCTAAATAGGTAAAGGATGGAACAAACTGAATCCTATATTCACAACCTTTTCTGCTAGGACATATTTTGGGACTAAATTCTACATGTTACCCAGAGGCAGCTATGGAGACGCTGACAGAACTGGAAGTCTCATGATGCATTACCATGACCTGTTAAAGCTTTGTCCCTTGTTGGTAGTTCTAGGATTGCATTATGTGTGTTTAGACAGGTTTTTGTGGGAAGAATGATTTATGTGATTTTTAGGAACTGTTAGTTGTTGGGGTTTTATTTGCTTGTTGGTTTTGAACTTTTTAATGAGTGCTCTGTTTATATTTTGAGCTATCCTCCACAGCCCTGAGATGTACCTTGTTTTCTTCTTATGAAAACTAAAATTTTCACGCTACAGAAAAAAAGTCTAAGATACAAGATTTTAAGAAAAACAACAAATATTGAAAACATTCATGATGAAACCATGAAAGCTGGCTACAATAAAGGCAATGATATGTGATCCAGTGTAGGCTTTTGTGGCCCCTAACCTGTCTAAATCTGATTCAGTTTTAGATCAGTTGCAATACAAAACATCTGCTGTGAGATCAAACTGCAGGTGTATGTAAGATGCAGCCTAGCCAGATTTCCATTCTGATGAAGCTGGATGGTTTAAACGAAGACCATTTAATTTTGTGCTTTTGTATTTCAGTTTCTGTTGTACATAGGTATAGCCCTAAAAAAGCTGTTCTGGTGCTTTGAAGCACCATAAATTTGTGTGTGTTTACAATGCAACTAAAAAAATAAAAGAGGGTGGAATTTTCTCCAATGACAATTTTTTGGGGGCTATCTTCAATTCACTCTGTATTTTTTTCCCTCTGAAAATACAGATTGCAGTAAAGACTGTTCTGCAGAAGAAAACAAGTACTGTGCAAAAGAAAAAGGGGTTCCAATATGCAAATGCATGCCTAACTTTGAAAAGAAGGATGAACAATGTGTATTGTGAGTACTCAGCTTTTTCTTGTGTTCCTGTGTTCTAGGCAAAGATAGGGGAGAAGAACATCTACCACAGGGTCACCTTTGATCTAGAAGAACAGCCTGCAGCTATGTGAATCAGAGAGGTACCTAAGGTGGTTAGCAGGTGGCCAATTTCCCATGGTGTTCCAAGTTATGGTATTTTAACTACTTGGCATTAGTTGTTGGTGTGCACTTATAATACCTCAGAGGAAAGTCAAAGAGATCCAAGATCATCTGTGAGTCAGTGAAGAGGATAAACTACTTCAAGCTTATTTTGTGGGTTGCCCACGTAACCATAAACTATTGCCTCTGAGTAATTGAGCTATGGGAACTGTTATGCCAAAGCATTTAGTAAGTAGCAGGCATTAGATCAAGACTTGCCTCAAATCCCTGGAAAGTTTCCACTGATATCAGTGGAGACTCTGTTTCCTGATAACTTTCAGACCTATGTTACGTTCAATATTAACTTATCATTAAAGAGGAAAACTGTAATGAACACACCTTGCAGAGAAATTGCTGATAAAAGGTGGAAATATACTATTGTTTTGTGCTCATCTGCTTAATGACATCATTCTTTTCCTTCTTTCCCCTTTTTTCTCTCATGTAGTTGTCCAGTGGGCTACTCTGGAGAAAACTGCAAGAACAGTAAGTACAAGAATTTCTGATTTTTAATTACAGCATGGAAAAATACCCAGTAATGTTTAATCTGGCTGAGATAACAGAAATAACAAGTACTAGCCTTTAGGAGTGCCACCATCCTGTATCGACAGCAGTAAAATGTTAGGAAAAAAATGAGAGAAATGCCACTGTGGCCTGGAAGGGAAAATCCTTCTTGAAACTGATATTCAGACAGACAGTAGCATTTCCTCTAATGGCCTCTGCATTAAGTCCAGTAGTCGTTAGTCACATAACACAGGTTATTTGATAGAAAACATTTAGTACTCATCTAAAGACATGCAATGCTGAACTCAGCACCACTAATGAATTATTTTCTCCTGTAATTAATCACTTCCTCTATTAAAACATCAGTGGATTACACTCATTTGAAATGTTTCTGCTTGAATATCCAACCACTAGTTCTTGTTTGCGCTTTACCTTGCAAGCAAGCACTGCACAGTATCTAGTATTCTATACTGGTGAAGACATGATGGCCCCAACTGTGTTAAACCATAGCTGTAATCATCTGGTCAAGCTAACCAGACTGTCCTTCCAATGCTTTCTCGCTTTTCTGAGTCAGTTTTGCAGCTTTCCGCTGCACCTTCTCCAGTTTCCACCATTGTATAGATTAGGAGAGGACATTCTTCATGCCTTCTAGTGTTTGCATGTGCCTGAGCTCAGAACATCTAATACAGTCAAAGGCAGGTTGAAAAATGAACAGTTATGGTTCTTCACTTCTCAGAACTCCTTTGGCTTTATTTGAGCAAAAGGTATATATATCCTCATGTGGCCCTTTGAGTCTCACACTGCTGCATTCTTAAACTTATACATGTTTAACATACCTGTGTCTGCAGCTATGAGATCTTCAAGGGTTTTCTTCTGGTTTTGCCTAGAAGTTTTTGAGATTGCCTAATAGTAGTTGTAAGTGCAGCACAAAGAATCTTGCCAGCTGTTAATGTTTGGCAGAAAGCACATTTTTCATCACACGGAACATATTTTTCTGGAGAAAGTTTTGGGAATTTTAAGGCCTTTTTCGTAAAGCAAATGAAAATGCTAAGTCAGCACAAAATCCACACATTGTGAATTTAAACATGAATTTGAGTCCTGCTAATAATAAACACCATCGATAGCCTCATCTTCTCCATACGGCACTTGGTGGGTACTGATGTAAAAAATTTGCGGAGCAATAAACAAGGATACTTTACCCATGTGTTTGGCATAACGTTCTTTTGAGAAATTGTATTCCCTGTTGTCTTGCTGTATGCTCCTATGATTACATGTGCTGGATTGTTCTGGTGGTAATGGCACAGTTGGTGGTTTTATGTTGTGTATCTCCAGCATAGGCATTCAGTATACTAAATGGCAGAGTCATAAATCCAGGCTGGGATCTTGAAGTAGGTAACACCAGTAAGGTTGGGTGGCTCAAGAGACTGTCTTACTCTTCACACCCTTATCTTGAAATTATGCCCTGCAGGACACAATTCTCCTTTTTTTTTCCACTTACCGTGGCTATGCAGAGCTAAGACTGGGTTTTAGTAGCAATTCCATTCACAGTTGAAGGAAGATACAGAGAATGCAGGTCTTCCTCCCTTAGTCACGCTGGTTATGCAGCAAGATGAGTGAAAATGAATTTTCCTTGCCAAACATTTATTCACATATGGGATATTTCTGCAGTGTTCATAGTGCCACATAACAGACATCTCAAATCAGTGTGCCTGAAGTGCCTAGAGCATGGGAAGAGCCTATTTGACACCTAAGTATGTATTTTAGCAGCCATACTAGTTTAAGCAACCCCTATGCTCTCCCAGGACAGTTGTTCCTGTCCCTCAGCTATACTGGAACAGCGATGTGTGAAGCTGTTCAGTTGCATGGGATTAGGAACCTGAGCTGGGATCAAGATAGCCATCCAGAAGAGGTGGTCTTTAATGTAGATCAGTTCCTTCATTTACATCTTTCTGTGTCCACAGACAGTTGTACTGAGACAGCACCTGGAGCCTGGGAATGAATAACATTTTCTTTCCTTCTTTCCTTCTTTCCTTCTTTCCTTCTTTCCTTCTTTCCTTCTTTCTTTCTTTCCTTCTTTCCTTCTTTCTCTCTTTCTCTCTTTCTTTCTCTCCTTCTATCCTTCTCTACCTCTCCCTCTCTCTCTTTCTCTTTCTCTTTGTCTCTATCTCTCCCCTTCCTTCCTTCTTTCTTTCTTTCCTTCTTTCTTTCCTTCTTACTTTCCTTCTTTCTTTCCTTCTTACTTTCCTTCTTTCTTTCCTTCCTTTCTTTCTTTCTTCCTTTCCTTCCTTCCTTCCTTCCTTCCTTCCTTCCTTCCTTCCTTCCTTCCTTCCTTCCTTCCTTCCTTCCTTCCTTCCTTCCTTATAAGAAACAGGACTTGGTTTGCAGTATTTACCATGAGTTTTCAATTGATGTTTTCTGTTTGTTTTTTTTTTCCAGATAGTGAACTCATCCTTATAATAGTGGGTACAGTGTTTGGAGCAATTATCCTGAGTTTAGTGATAGCAGTCTCTATTATTTCAGTAAGGTAAGATTATTTCTGACAATTTAATAGAAGCTGCATTGCTGCATGTTCCTAGAGAACTAAGAAATTTAGAGAGGGGTAGGGCTGTGAATGTGGTTGTGTGCCTAGTTGGGCAGACAAGTTCATTTAAGTCATATAGCCATTACAATTTGGTTTTGCCTGTGTGCCCTCTCCAGAAGTATTTATTCTCTTGCTATGAATCTACCATGAAAGCCTCAGCCAAGACTTTCAAAATACACACCTGAGCCATTAACCCTAGTGCTGCCCTAGCCAGTACTGGTATGGCATCTGGATGAGACTGAAGAAGGATGCTGATATCAGAAGACTGTGTGGCCCAAATTCAGACCCTCTGCAGGTTTCCTTGCTAGCACTTCAGGTCAAGGCCTGGCATGCCCCTTTCAGCTCAATACAGGTGGCATTTCCAGCCAAGCATCTCTGTAAAGCTTGCTATTCCTGGTTTACTGGAAAATTCCCAATTGCAGTAGCACCTCCTCACTTCTCTCCACACAATAACTATAGAAACGCTTAAGCAGCCTCTGCCTTTGCTCTTGGCAGTGCCCAGGTAAAAATGCCTATAAGACCACCCATAGCAGGCACGGCTCACCAGCAGGTGCACAAGCTGGTGCCGAGTGTGTGTGCAATGTATGGACTTCTCATCACAGGCAATTCAAATGCATTGAGTGTTCAACTTTGGCTGCAGGCAAGAAGGCAACTTTTCTGAACTGGTCCTAATGAATGCCTCATTTCTTCCTCTGAACCATGGTGGTCAAGGAAATTTCTTCACTCTAGGAACTAGTTGAAAGAGGCCAAAGTCCCCCTCTGTCTCTCCTAGCACCTTAGCCCCATCTATGATAAGAGATTCCAAACTTTGCACTCTGTCATTGATAACAAGGGTTTTGCAATAGGTATGCTAGAAAAATCTGTTGTGTGTTTCAGAACAGGACTGAGCATTCAAAATAAGATGGAAGTGGATAACTCAGTAAGTTGGACTTACTCAATAACTGAGGCACACTAAAAGGTCTTTTCAAACCTCCTTTGTTCTTTCTTTTCCCCTGAAGAGCCAAACACAAACAAGATCCAGAGAAGAAGAGCCTGATAAAGTCAGGATATTCCAACTCAAATACCTTTGATGATAGACAGACCATGATGTTCCCCAGAGTCCAGACCACTTCTGGCCATGCAAACCCAGGATATCAGCCAAACAACCCATATGAGATGCATTTCCCAAATAGAGGTCGTTTTCCACAGAGGGATTATGATGATTTGGTAAGTGTTTCACGTGTCTCCCTATGGGAATTCTATTCCTGAACTGTAGACTTGTGGGCTACAGATATTGTTGGAACCTAAACTCCACTCTGTCCATCCTCCCTTGATCTAGAAGGTCAAAGTGATTATAAAGGCAACGAAACAACTGTAGCTGCAGCTGAAAAAATTTCCCTAATACAGAGATCAGCACTCATTAAGACCTTTCTAAAAGCCCCAGTAGTCATCCCTGAGTCACCAGAGGGATATGTGAAAAGCAAGGGTCAAAGCAACAGTTTGGTTGCCCAGTGGTCTGCTGGGTCGTAGGACATTCGTCTGCATTGACTGAACACATCCTTCAGCACCGACGCGCATGCAAGCATCACAGGCTGTTGCAACCTGTGCTTCTTTTAAGTCAGTTGTAGTGTCAATAGGTGCTGCAGTGGCAGTTCCCAGCTGCAGCCTCATGCAAGATTCACAGTCAGCTTAAGCTGGCACAGCTGCCCAGAGTGTCGGTGTCCTCCCACCTGCGCTGCCACTGCCTAGTTCACAGCAAGAGCTTCTGCAGTTGCTGCACCATTGCAAAGGGGTAAAGTGTAAAGTGCCATGAAGAAGCTAGCACAGCTTTTGCATTGATATAGTCCAGAGGAGCCTGTTCAGCAGAAGTGTGTCACTAGCTGGAAGGTGATGTTTTGAAAAAACTGCCTGTTTTATCCTTGAACTCTGCAGGGTTGCTGCGGAGGGAGCCAGGGCTTGAGAAGTACTGTGCTGTGATATGATTGATTTGCTGGGTTCTGCATGCATGCAGTAAATGTAAAGCACATTGTCCATTCAAAACTCATTTAAATGACATTTTAGCTCCACCTCTGCGGTGCAAGAAACTACCCCTGTTTAGTGAAGAAAACCTGTGTAATTGTAATACACGTATGTGTTTTGCAGAATTGAGGCCTAAACCATGACAGAAGCAACACAGAAACCTGATGTTTAAAAAACAAAAAACAAAAAACCTCTTTTGAAAAGCTGCCAATTAAGAGAAGCAAAACATCTATTTAGTTAGTTGATTGATCAGATTCACATGGATTTTGTCATTTCTCACTTTCCGAAGACATCAACTTTTCACTGATTAGAATTTGCCTATAGAATGCATTTGGTTTTCCTTGAGGGCTAGTGTGTTCACTTACAGAGAGGGCTACCATGTGCTCAACTATTCTGAAAAAGGAGCTTTCTGACCTAGAGCTACTCTTTATTTCTCTTCTTGTCCAAATTCTGTGTAGTATGAAATATCACAGGAGCCTGAGGGCTTCAGGATGAGGAGCAGATACTAAGTGACCAGAGCAGTAGAAGGATGGACGACCACCATGACAATGGGTCAGACCAAAGAGTTTCACAGCCTCTCACCAATGCAGTTACTTCAGCAGAAAAGACAACAAAGTCCATAACCCCAGATTATCTGAAGATTTTCTAAAGGAAGACCCCTGCTTGAAAGAGATCTTCGACAACTCTCTGAAATAAGGGGAAAATGAAGCAAAGGGTATGGAGAAGAAGAGGACTTCTAAAAGAACTAATGAACTCCAATAAACATCAGACTTCTTTCAGGAGGCCAGTATGTTGTCAAGGGAGTGAGTGTAGACAAGATACCCTGCTGTTTTTCAGTTCTTCTGGAAGATGGAAGATGGCAATGTGTGTGATGCTGAAAAATGTCAGCGTGTGTGATGCTGAAAAATGTCAGCACACAGAGATTTGCCTGTATTTGGGCTCTCTCCATTTCAGCAGAAGGCAGCCTGCATGGCTTTAGGCACATCAAAACTGTTCTTCATGAGAACATAACCTTTTTCTCTTTACTATATCAGATACAGTCTTTTTCCCCTCCTCAACCCTCCCCATTTCCTATCTGAAAGCATTCAGTTCAGATCTCTGCTGCCATGCCTTGTGTGAGACAAAGGTACTTGTCTGACCTTTTATGCAGCCTTCCTTCCCAATACAATGACAAGAGACAGTATCTTCAGACAAACACTATTGTTCTCCATCTTGCACAACTGCATTGATTTTACATTCTCAGCTCCTGTGGAAAGTGTTAGCATTTTTTTTCTCTTGCACTCTTTATGTTTTGATTGAATTATTTTAAGGTTTTTTGTTAGTGGTTTTTTTTTTTAATTTCTTACATACACTCAATGAATCTGTCTGTAAAAGAATCCACATTTTACCATACTTTACTGAGTATGCATTATCTATTGACTAGCATTAACATTTCCTTATATATATTTTATATATATATGCACAAATATGTACATATATTTATAGACTAAGTTCATTTAAAGCATCATTTAATTCCATGTTATATTTTGTGTTTTGGTTTGTATATATGCAGATTAATTTTTCCTATTAAATTTTATTGTTTCTCAGGACCAAGGCTTTCTTGTGTTGCTGCCCAGTGGTGTAAATGTTTTTTTTTTTTTTACAACTTCAGAGACTATTTTATGTTAAAACTTGTGCAGAGTTTAGACATAGTGGTTGCACCAGCACCCACCTTTCATTCAGAGGTTCCGATCAGAAATATTAAATCTTAATGAAGCTAAAAAGTTTATTGTTGTAAGTCTGGCACCAATTTTCTGTGATCATTTTCGGTGGGAACTGGGTAGTTAGTGCAGCTGAGTCTCCTTTGAAAATGCTGGGCAAGGCGCTCTCTGTGATGGCAGCTTTGTGCATACGGGTCTGTTAATGTCACGCAGCTAAGAAAAGAAGTGTCTTTCAGCTTAAATTACAAGTTTGGAGCCAGTGGTAGAGAACACTGTATGTGGCTGTAGAGTTTACCAGGATGTGTATGCAGATGGGTTGTTCCAGTGCTCCCAGTGATCAAAACCAGCTCCCATTTGCCAGTTATGTGGTTGAAAACTGGGAACTAAGCACTCCTGCTCTTTCTCATGTGGTTTCTCTAGCAAAAGAAGAGAGATGCTGCTTTCTCTGAACTGCCTGCGATGAGCAGTAGCTCAGAAGTAGCCGGGTGAGAAAAGGTACAATTTTCTCTCTGTTGTTTTCTTGGGATTTCACTGTTTCTTTTGTCCAGTTGACCCTGTCCCCTTTGCTGCTGTCACCTGGCTGCGCAGCGCCTGTAGGAGGCCAGGTTCTGGTGGCTTTAGCCACTCTCCACTGGCTCAACATGCACAAGGCGACCTTCACTCCCTGTGAGTAGGGCTGGCTGGATTTAGCTATTCATGATACCTTGTTCAAAGGATGGTAGAGATTTGGTCTTATTTTCTTGACTTTTCTTCTGAGAGTACTCACCTGTGAGGAGCAAAGCAAGGCTGCCCTTAACACAAGAGGCAGACAGGCCCCGTCCTTCCTCCAGCTAGAAAAGCCCTACAAGGAGGACCAGCTCACTTCCCCAACAGTTTCATTAATGTATGGCCACCCATGCCTGCTGCCCCCTTCTTTTTCTTTGAGCCTTGTGTGTCCCTACCATTCTCTCAGTGAAGGAGATGCTCCCTGCTTCTAATCCCTCTGCTAAGTCCTTTTCTTTTCCCCCTTTTCCTGATTTTTCAGCAGCAGGAAAAGGTTCTGCTGCCAGCAGAACACTCTGGGGAGTTTGCACACAGTGAGGCACTGAAAAACAAGTGGGATACAGGCAGAACAAATAGCAAAAAGTTGAGAAGCTCAGTGTAGACTTCTACTTTGTTCAGCCAGAGACTTTTGCTTGGATCCCCCCTCCTCCCCTTCTTTGTATGACAGACTGAAACTCAGGGTTAGCTGGAGTCTAATAAAAAGATTTCTATATATTAAGAGTAATAGCCCACACATCATGGTCTTTCATTGGTAAATAGTCTGGTTCCATCAGCTTACTGCAGTGTCCTTAAAATACATGTAACAGAACCTGCTACGGAGGCACATGAAGAGACTTTTAAATGTTCTATCTTACTCTTTCTCAAAGTAATAGGGGTTGGAAATACAGCTGAAATCTCAACGATAAACAAAACTTTAATGCAGTAAAGCTTTATTGAGGGTATGATATCTAGACCTTTGCCGTCATTGATAATAAAAGCAGCAAATATGGTCAGGTGTTGGCGTCATTTAGCTGCAGAGGAATTTTCATTGCTCTAGTTCAAAGCTAATTTCTGCAACTGCAACCAGTTCTCATTTAGCCTGTGCTGGGGAGGGGCTACTGTAAGCCTGCTACTCTTGAGCATTTCAAAGACTGCTACAAACAGCTATTTTATCTGGACTGGAATTCTGTACCAAAAGGGCAAACTCTCAGATATTTCAGTTCTCTTTGGCTATTAGCAATGTGTGATTCTGTTGCGAAATGTGATCATGGAAAATAGTTCTTTGTGGTGTTTTATGACCGCTGTTGCTTGGCTCGTGCGTTGTTTCAGCTTCCCATCCTTCAAAATCCAGCTGGGCATGGGAAAGGGAGCTAAGTGCGACCCTCAGCCGTTGGTGTGAGAGAGGACATGCCTGCAGACAGGGTGAGAGGCTTCAGGGAAGTGCCACAACTCATTTCCCGTCCTGGGATCTCCCATCCATCTGCTCCCCCGAGGTACAAGGTGTCCTGCTGGCACATAACCCACAGAAGATGTGGAAAGATGGTGCCACTCAAGTCTGCCACCTACTTTTGAGCAAAAATTACACCGCAGAGATTGCTTGGCGCATCTACCCAGGGTGTACTAAAAAGTGCTAAATGAGTTGAGGACAGGGGTTTCCATGGTTATAACACATACTTGTATGGGGGTGTTGGGTTATAACCCCATATCGCAAGCAAGGCAAGCTTAGCACTGCCTCACTCATCTGCCGCTCCTGGGAGAGGAGTACTGTTGTTTGTCAAGTCTGGCAGCTGCCAAGTCATCAATTGCTATTTTTTCCCAGTTTCCCACTTTCCCCCTTATTTTTAGCCCAGTAATGTTCCTGTTTCAAAGCCTTGTGCCCGGTGTTTGCCAATGGAGCAGTTTTGCTTATTAAGGCTTCCCAGGAGGATTAAATTGACTTGTCCCAGGTTTTGGGGGTTTGAGCTGAAGATACTGATTTTTGCAGAAACTAGTAAAAAAAATCCCCAAAGCCAACCCTAAAAGCCCAAAGAACAGGGTAGCCCATACAACATGTCAGGTCACAATTAAACAGGAAATAAATGGGGCTAAAAATAAGAATCCATAAATTGCCTTGCAAAGAATACTCTAACTGTTGATAAAAGGCTCTTTAAATATATCAAAGCCACAAAGGCAGCTAGGAAATCAGTGGGAACGCTGATGACAAGGGTATGAAAGGGGCAGATGGGGATGATGAAGATGTAGCAGAGGAGCTCAGTGGTTTCTTTGCGGCTGTTTTTACTGCTGAAGCTATTGCGGAGCTTTCCACATCTGCCACACTCTGCAGTGGATCAGCCAGAGGAGCCAGAGCAATTAGAAATAAAAAGGTAACATGGAGTAAAGAGGTAACAGGAGTAAAGGAAAGTAAGGGAAGTGACTAGGTAACAGGAGGTACAAGGTCAAGTGGATGAAGTGGTTGTTAGTAAGTGACCAGGACCAGGCGACGCTGATCTGGGGGACCCAAAAGAGCGACTCAGCCCAGCGGTTCGGGGGGCTGTGGTACCCAGTTGTGTTCCCAGGCACAGCCAGCCCATCACACCCCATAGACTCACTGGGACGCCGTGAGCCATCTTGGTGAGTCTCCGAAGCCATTGACTCCGGGTGGCAGCCAAAGACCCACCAGAATTTGGGGGTATGCAAACTAGAGGAGGTCAACATAAAGCAGACAGAAAAAAAAAGTACTTTACAGGCTTAGGTGGTGAACTTGTTGCCACAGGGGGTTGTAGATGCTGGAGCAGAGCCTGGGGCTGGATGGCTCGCCTGGGGCTGCATGGCTCACCTGGGCCAGAGGACATTTCTCACCTTCTGAACTCATTGACCTGCTTTATTCAACAGCAGCAGGGGCTGAAAGCTGATGCCTGGGGTGCACGTACGTAGTGTGTCTTGTATGCCCTGATTGTGGCCATGCTGTTCACAAACGGTGGAAAGGCAGGGTAAGGTGCTGTTCATCAGGCTCTTTAGTGTTTATGTAAAAGCAGCCTCATAAAAGAAACAAGGGGAAATTTTTGCAAGCAGACAACTCAAAAAATGCAAAATGCTTCCTGCTTTCGAGCCCAAAAGGTGCTGCCTTTCACGTGCAAGCTCCAAACAGCAACCTCTGGAGAGCAAGTTTATGCCTCTGCTCTCTGCAAAAAGCAAACCAAGACCGCCAGCTCCAGCCCTCCCTCTCCTGGTGGAAGCAAAACAGCGTGTGAAGGAGCTGTGCCTTACCTGCTTCTCTCTGTCCCCAAACCCCGGGCAGTGTCCCCAAA